GTGAGTGGTTTGGCCGTTACCATGACAACCACACCTGTCTCCTCTCTACTCTCGTCCCTCCCCCCCATCCCTTCTCCTTCCCCTTAGTGCCAACCCCTCACATGTCCCCCCTTCCCCTTCTGTCCTCCCACGATGCTCTCTCCTACTTTCCTCGTCCCCAGCCTCCAGGGATGCTTAACCTATGTCACACGTGTGGGTGGCGCATGTTCACACGCATGCGCACACACGGACACACACGCACGCATTCACACATGCACACACATCTGCCTCGCCCCCCAACTCTGATTCGCCCCCAACACTTCCTCCCTCCATCTCTTCCTAAGTAGTCTTAGAGATTCGAGTCTCATTGCTTAGCTTCATCATTTTCAACTCTTTTTTTATTTCTGAGGTAATCTTAAACGAATGTGAGGTCCAGTGGTGTATTCATCTAGTTGTGCTTGCTGGGGTAGATCCCTGGCTCTTTCGGGCCGTCTCTCAACTGTCGGTCAATCATTTTTTCCACACACACACACACACACACACACACACACACACACACACACACACACACACACACACACACACACACACACACACACACACACACACACACACACACACAAGGCTATAGGCCCAGATGGAATCTCCCCTTGGGTTCTAAAGGAAGGAGCAAGAGAACTGAGCCTACCACTCTCCATAGTGTATAACAAATCACTGGCAACAGGGGAACTGCCAGATATTTGGAAAGCAGCTAACGTAGTCCCGATATACAAGAAAGGGGATAGACAGGAGGCACTGAACTACAGGCCAGTGTCCCTAACCTGCATACCATGCAAGCTGATGGAGAAGATTGTGCGAAAAAAACTAGTGGAGCATCTGGAGCGAAGGAACTTTGTAACACAGCATCAACATGGGTTCAGGGATGGCAGGTCCTACCTCACAGGGTTACTTGAATTCTACAACCAGGCAACAAAAATAAGGCAAGAAAGAGAAGGGTGGGCAGACTGCATATTTTTGGATTGTCAGAAAGCCTTTGATACAGTGCCACACAAGAGGCTAGTGCGAAAGTTGGAGATGCAGGCTGGAGTGAGAGGGAAGGTACTCCGGTGGATAGAGGAGTACCTAAGCAACAGGAGACAACGAGTCTGTGTGAGGGGTGAGGTCTCAGATTGGCGAGACGTCACAAGTGGAGTCCCGCAGGGGTCAGTCCTTGGATCTATACTGTTTCTGGTATATGTAAATGATCTCCCAGAGGGTATAGATTCGTTCCTCTCAATGTTTGCCGACGATGCAAAAATTATGAGGAGGATTGAAACAGAGGATGATAGTAGGAGGCTACAAGATGACCTGGATAGACTGAGTGAATGGTCCAACAAATGGCTGTTGAAGTTCAACCCGAGTAAATGCAAAGTAATGAAACTAGGCAGTGGAAACAGGAGGCCAGGCACAGGATACAGAATAGGAGATGAAGTACTTAATGAAACAGACAGAGAGAAAGATCTAGGAGTTGATATCACACCAAACCTGTCTCCTGAAGCCCACATAAAGAGAATAACGTCTGCGGCATATGCGAGGCTGGCTAACATCAGAACGGCGTTCAGGAACCTGTGTAAGGAATCATTCAGAATCTTGTACACCACATATGTAAGACCAATCCTGGAGTATGCGGCCCCAGCATGGAGCCCGTACCTTGTCAAGCACAAGACGAAGCTGGAAAAAGTCCAAAGGTATGCTACTAGACTAGTCCCAGAACTAAGAGGCATGAGTTATGAGGAAAGGCTGCGGGAAATGCACCTTACGACACTGGAAGACAGAAGAGTAAGGGGGGACATGATCACAACCTACAAAATCCTCAGGGGAATCGACCGGGTAAACAAGGATGAACTATTCAACACTGGTGGGACGCGAACAAGGGGACACAGGTGGAAGCTGAGTACCCAAATGAGCCACAGAGACGTTAGAAAGAACTTTTTCAGTGTCAGAGTAGTTAGTAAATGGAATGCATTAGGAAGTGATGTGGTGGAGGCTGACTCCATATACAGTTTCAAATGTAGATATGATAGAGCCCAATAGGCTCAGGAATCTGTACACCAGTTGATTGACGGTTGAGAGGCGGGACCAAAGAGCCAGAGCTCAACCCCCGCAAGCACAATTAGGTGAGTACAATTAGGTGAGTACACACACACACACACACACACAGTGTCAGTGTCAGAGTGGTTGACAAATGGAATGCATTAGGAAGCAATGTGGTGGAGGCTGACTCCATACACAGTTTCAAGTGTAGATATGATAAAGACCAATAGGCTCAGGAACCTGTACACCTGTTGATTGACGGTTGAGAGGCGGGACCAAAGAGCCAGAGCTCAACCCCCGCAAGCACAACTAGGTGAGTACAACTAGGGGAGTACACACACATCCACACGGGGACCTGGTTGCCTGGTGGATAGCGCGCAGGACTCGTAATTCTGTGGCGCGGGTTCGATTCCCGCACCAGGGAGAAACAAATGGGCAAAGTTTTTTCACCCTGAATGCCCCTGTTACCCCTGTGTCATGCCTCATCACCCTGTGTCATGTCTCATCACCCGGTGTCATGCTTCATCACCCCTGTGTCATGCCTCATCACCCTGTGTCATGTCTCATCACCCTGTGTCATGCCTCATCACCCTGTGTCATGCCTCATCACCCTGTGTCATGATTCATCACCCTGTGTCATGATTCATCACCCTGTATCATGCCACATGCATCCTACTCGTCTTTGTTGCTACATATCTCACCCTCACTACTCTGGCCAGCAGACCTCGCGTCTCACCCTCACCCTTACCGTCACTCACACCCTCGCCTCTTCCGCCACTGTTCCTCCCAACTCATAACTCACTCATAACGAGCCTCATGTCTCACTCCCCGCCCCTCATTCCCCCTCACTCATATATCACCTCATAACTCACACGTGGCCCCTACTCATACCTCAACCCTGCTTCCTCTAATATTTATATGTTCACTCACATCCCGACTCATGTCTCACCCGCCCTCACCTTTCATCCACTTGATAAGTCATCCACCATCACCCGTACCTAACCCCCCTCTCCTCATACGTCACCCGGATCATCCTCAACACCCCACTCACGCCTCACCCAGCCCTCTCATCCTCCTGACTCACGCCTCACCCTCCAACAAGGCGGGTGGTGAGGAAGACGCTCGCTAACAGTCACTGGGAAGAGCAGGAGCCGCCGGGGCTCGCACCAGAGGACGGGCATATTACTCCTTTATGCCCTCTAATAACCTGCCGACGGTGTGCCAGGCGAACCAGCGCCACCCTTCACCCTATTTTAGACCCCCTTCCCCCTCCTCTTCTCACCCCTTCCCCACATCGTTCCCCCCTCCTCTTCTCACCCCTTCCCCACATCGTTCCCCCCTTCTCTTCCTTTAGCTCTCCTTCATCATTCCTTCTACAATTTTTCCCTATCATTCTTCATCTATCCATCATTCCTCATCTCTTCACCCTCCCCCGTTTCTCATTACCTCACCCTACCCCCATCATTCCCCATCCCTTCCCCTTACTTCTCCCTCTCCTGAATGTGATACTTTTTCTATCAGTTTATCTTGAGGATTAATTCCCGATGGTTGTTAATCCGACTTCATTTTGACTGGTTTTTCAAGAGCAGAAGTGACCATTATGGTAACCTCAGTCGTCCTGCTGGAGTAGGTGGCGCTCGAGTCGTGGCCTTCACGAAGAATTCTCTCTCTCCTTCGGCAGGGAACTCATTTTTGTCCTCCATCTCCCTATGGTTGCATAATTTGTTGTGAGTGATGGTGGTAATATTGTGGTGTTTGGTCAATTATGTCCCTGAGTGATGAGGGCGTCCGGCGGGGCCAGGCAGGTCATGTGTTGTGGGCCCTGGTAATAACTGGCCCTCTCGCCCTCCCTCACACTACCTTATGGCCCCCTTCTCTTTCTTCCTCTCTCTCTCTCTCTCTCTCTCTCTCTCTCTCTCTCTCTCTCTCTCTCTCTCTCTCTCTCTCTCTCTCTCTCTCTCTCTCTCTCTCTCTCTCTCTCTCTCTCTCTCTCTCTCTCTCTCTCTCTCTCTCTCTCTCTCTCTCTCTCTCTCTCTCTCTCTCTCTCTCTCTCTCTCTCTCTCTCTCTCTCTCTCTCTCTCTCTCTCTCTCTCTCTCTCTCTCTCTCTCTCTCTCTCTCTCTCTCTCTCTCTCTCTCTCTCTCTCTCTCTCTCTCTCTCTCTCTCTCTCTCTCTCTCTCTCATTTATGCGAAACAAAAACCATTATCACAACTGGAACAGTTCCTCTCCACTGGAACATTATCCGTGAAATATAATACATTCCCATCGTCACGCTGAACGGGGGGATTAGGTTACTTTAGCAATTTCCTCTCTGCTAAACGAGGAGGCGTTGCCGGTGTCGGGTCTCTTGTGTACACTCCAGGTTACATGGACGTGTGCTCGCCTGTGTTGTATATACAGGTCTGGCCTAGCCTGCTACAGCCCTACCTACCCAACACTGTTGTTCAGTTATACAGGTCTGGCCTAGCCTGCTACAGCCCTACCTACCCAACACTGTTGTTCAGTTATACAGGTCTGGCCTAGCCTGCTACAGCTCTACCTACCCAACACTGTTGTTCAGTTATACAGATCTGGCCTAGCCTGCTACAGCTCTACCTACCCAACACTGTTGTCCAACTCACTGCAGTGATCAAATTTGGGCATTTAACTAGATTTAATATTTGTTCGTCATTCCACTTGCAACACTCCAGAAGTTCTTCCTGATATCCATGTTGTTCATTTGTATCACTATTTTATATATATTTCCCCTTGATCTGGTATTAATAGCTTCTTTGATTAGTTAGTGGACTAGTTACATGTCGTTATCATGTTCTCCGTTCCCTCGTCTCCTCCAGTGTGGCGGGGCCATGTGACCTCGACCTATCCTCTGAGGTCAGGACTGTCTGCTTATGAACAAGCCTAGTTACATGTAACTTTACCTTTCCAATTCTTATTTTGTGTTTTTCATGATGTTATTCTGCAAAAGTGAGCAGTTAGCATTTGCTTTTTGCTTATATCTTATAGTAAGTTCTCTTTTTCAGATGCTGTAATCTGTCTTCTCTATATTTTATACCGCTGGACGGGTCTCCTGGTTCTATTTTCATTATTTTCTATCTGGCGGGGGGTCTACTTTCTCAGACCATCTGTGGAGCGGGTCAAGGTCTCATTGCTTCTCCTCTCATACGGTTCTTTTCATTAGTTTTGAATCATCGGAACACATTGACATGGAAGTGACAATTTCCACTGCCAGGTTGTTGACATATACTGGAAACAGGATTAGTCGTAGTATAAAATCTTGTGGTACTCCACTTTTCCTTCTTTCTCCTCTCCGATATCTCACTGGAATTCTGTGGATCATTCCTTAGTGTTTTTTTCCGCATCCATTCTCTCTATGATTGCATAATTTGTTGTAAGGGATGGTGGTAATATTGTGGTGTTTAGTCAATTATGTCCCTGAGATGCACTCCTTCAGATACACCATACTGCTAATCAAGCATAAGTTGGAATTTCTCTGTAACATGCTTTTCTTTCCAAGAATTATTTAATCATCGGGTATTCCCCTTTAAGGCACGCAAACCTTCATCTCTATCAGTTCTTTTGTCTATCTGTAGCCGCCATATTCTAAAACTGAAACCTATTGATTTTTTTAGCGAATGCTTTACGATGTAGTCTAGCTGGTCGATCTCTTCCTTGCCTGCTGGTGTTCTCCTCAGCAGGTTCTTCTCTAACACTTCCACAAGCATTGTTCTCAATTTCTCTTCTCCCTTTTTCAGACCAATTATTTCACAGCCCTTTTAACCGAGATTGAAGTCTTCTATTACTAGCAGCTTTGCTCACAATCTGTGGGATTTTCCTGCCAGTCATTGGAGGAAATTTATGAATGCTCTGCTCATAATATAATATTCTTGTTTCGGCCATTGATTTTCTGGTGCTTGTAAATCATAACCTCAACCACTTTTATTCCATTCATGGAAATATTTAACACAGTGAAATCCTTAAAGTTTCTTGCTTCCACCAAAAGGATGTCGTCACATGTACTCGTCCTCAGTTACGCCTCCCCTTCCACTGTCTTTCTTTTCTCTTTTCATAATCTGGCATTTCCAGGGAAATACCTGATTAGTAATCATTCCTGTTAATTTTGTCTCCAATATTGTTATTACATCATGGTTTATGACATAGTTCTTTTCACAAGTTCATTTGCTTTATATGACAGTCCATCAACATTTGTGTACTAGATTTTCACACTCTTAACTGTTACAATAGACAAGCGATGGTTGGAAAAGCGGGGTCCAAGAGCTGGCAGCTGTCACCTGCCAGCAGAAATAAGTGACAACAAGTAGGTGAAAACAGGAGACATTGCCTCATTACCTTTCATTATCACCTAACTCTTCAGAAGCACCGTCTTAAGGAGTGTGCAAGCTCCCCCTTCCTCCCTACCTCCAGCAACGTCCCTTCCCCCCACCGCCACCCCCCATTAACCCTCACCCCTCCCACCTGACCCCCACCATTATCCCCCTTCGCTCCCCCCCTTCTCCCACGTTACCGGCATCATTTGCAACACCTATTTGCATATCCTTTGTGCGCGCTAATTGAACTCATATTGCCATTGTCAAGCACGTTCTCCTACGGTGGGAGAGGGGGAGGTGGAGGTTCATGAGGTGCTCAGTTGTCTTGGTGTTCTTCCTGCTGGCAGCGAGCGTCTTATCGTCTATCTACAGCATTTGCTTGCCTTTATCTGCTGGGTGCAACAAAGGAATGCATTATTGAAAGCTCTGACCAGCAAAATTATATTCACGTCATGATTTGGAGCTTTGGGTTAATCCGTGCAATAATGGAATGAAGATATTGTGGTCTCGCCTGTGTAAAGGTGAAGTGTGAAGAGTGCTTTTGGAAGCAAGGTGGGACACTCCTCTCTCTCTCTCTCTCTCTCTCTCTCTCTCTCTCTCTCTCTCTCTCTCTCTCTCTCTCTCTCTCTCTCTCTCTCTCTCTCTCTCTCTCTCTCTCTCTCTAATATTTTTTTGTATACACGTGGTGCATCACTGAGTGAGACATTCAGTTGTAAAAGTACAGACATGCCATCCTGTCTTACGCTGGCACCAATGAGTGCCTTGCAGATCCTGCTTCAGTGGGAACTTCCATTATATCGAGTTCATTCTTGAAAGTAATGACCATTAACTGACGCCTGAAATTCTTGTTTGTCATGAAGATCATTGACATTGACACATTGGAATAACGAGAATATCAGCTTCCTTTGGTGAGGTCCCACAAGGCAGCATTGGTGTGGACCCACTAATGCATAAGCTGGAGATACAGGCAGGAATAAAAAGGAAGGTGCTCCAATGGATAAGGGAGTACCTAACCAACAGAAGACAGCGAATCCTTGTGAAGGGTGAGGCCTCAGAGTGGCGAGATGCACTAATAGAGTCCCACAGGGTTCAGTCTTTGGTTCTTTCCTGTTCCTGATATATGTCAACGATATATTGTTTATACCTGATATATTTATGGGACGGGGAAAGGAATGGTGCCCAACCTGTGTTGGGCACCATTACTATGAACTACTGCATCAACACAGGTCACCTGGTGTATGAACTACAACAGCCAGGTCACCTGGTGTATGAACTACAACAGCCAGGTCACCTGGTGTATGAACTACAACAGCCAGGTCACCTGGTGTATGAACTACAACAGTCAGGTCACCTGGTGTATGAACTACAACAGTCAGGTCACCTGGTGTATGAACTACAACAGTCAGGTCACCTGGTGTATGAACTACAACAGTCAGGTCACCTGGTGTATGAACTACAACAGCCAGGTCACCTGGTGTATGAACTACAACAGCCAGGTCACCTGGTGTATGAACTACAATAGCCAGGTCACCTGGTGCATGAACTACAGCAGCCAGGTCACCTGGTGTATGAACTACAACAGCCAGGTCACCTGGTGTATGAACTACAACAGCCAGGTCACCTGGTGTATGAACTACAACAGTCAGGTCACCTGGTGTGTGAACTACAACAGCCAGGTCACCTGGTATATGAACTACAACAGTCAGGTCACCTGGTGTATGAACTACAACAGCCAGGTCACCTGGTGTATGAACTACAACAGCCAGGTCACCTGGTGTATGAACTACAACAGCCAGGTCACCTGGTGTATGAACTACAACAGCCAGGTCACCTGGTGTATGAACTACAACAGTCAGGTCACCTGGTGTATGAACTACAACAGCCAGGTCACCTGGTGTATGAACTACAACAGCCAGGTCACCTGGTGTATGAACTACAACAGCCAGGTCACCTGGTGTATGAACTACAACAGCCAGGTCACCTGGTGTATGAACTACAACAGCCAGGTCACCTGGTGCATGAACTACAGCAGCCAGGTCACCTGGTGTATGAACTACAACAGCCAGGTCACCTGGTGTATGAACTACAACAGCCAGGTCACCTGGTGTATGAACTACAACAGTCAGGTCACCTGGTGTATGAACTACAACAGCCAGGTCACCTGGTATATGAACTACAACAGTCAGGTCACCTGGTGTATGAACTACAACAGCCAGGTCACCTGGTGTATGAACTACAACAGTCAGGTCACCTGGTGTATGAACTACAACAGCCAGGTCACCTGGTGTATGAACTACAACAGCCAGGTCACCTGGTGTATGAACTACAACAGTCAGGTCACCTGGTGTATGAACTACAACAGCCTTCGTCTACCTCCATGTAACATAATCCAGCAGAACTCCTCTTCATGAATTACCAACTTTTCATTTTAAATTGAAGTGTATTCATTTAATAAGTGTTAAATAGACAACAGTTTATATTAACATTTTTATACTTTTTTATTAGTAATGTTGACGTTGGTAACGCTTCAGTGAATAACAAATATTATTATATTTTATATTCCTTATGACCCATCAGCAGGTTGTCTGCTGCTTATCACTTGTTGCGCTTCTGCTTCCTTTCCTTCCTTCACCCGTTGTTCTCCTCCCCTTCATTATCTACTACTTTTATCCCCCATCCTTCCATCAACAGTTGCTCTTCACCTCTTCCATCTGTCACCTGTTTCTTAACCCTTATTTCCCACCCCATTAACCCCCTCCCCTATTCTTCCCTATTGACGAACAACACACAGCTTCCCTCTCCCTGCACCTGTGTTACCTTTGTATCAAGATGGTCGAAACCCCGCTGGGGAGCCACGGTGACAACGTCCATAGTTGTGGAATGAATAAGCCGTCGATAATGTCCTTGTTGTCCTTGCGTTGACGGCGCTTAATGCAGCGGTCAAGGAGCGCTCCGGCGCGGCCAGTATGTGTCAAGGAGCGCCCCGGCGTGGCCAGTATATGTCAAGGAGCTCCCTGGCGTGGCCATTATGTGTCAAGGAGCGCCCCAGCGAGGCCAGTATGTGTCAAGAAGCGGTCAGAGGTAGCTTACCTGTTGCTGGAAGTGGTAAGCACCCGCGGTCCCACACACTCACACACAAGGAGGAGAGGCAGATGCTCAGAAGACGACATAAACACACACACGCACACAACAGCAATAACACAAGCAACAAACTGACAGACACAGACAGACTGACATAAACAGCATTACAAGGCTGTCCAATAACGAAAGATTCCGACCCAAACTTGCAGCATAAATACCAGACAAAACTGGCGAGGAAGTTAACTATTTTCCTCCCGAGTTCTCCTGAACAATGAAAGATGTAGAGTCGTAAATGTTGGTTGTAAAGTTTGTGCTGAACTTAATAAGTGAACAACGCAACTTTAAATTACTTATTTTAAGTGCAACTCATTGATCCCGGCCAACGAAAGTTTAAACATTGACCTTTCGTGTGATGGACAGTTAGGCGTATGCTCAGACTGTATAACATTGTATGAGTGTATTGTATGATGTGAGGGTGTAGTGTATGTTGGGAGTGTGTAGTGTATGTTGGGAGGGCGTAGTGTATGTTGGGAGTGTGTAGTGTATGTTGGAAGGGCGTAGTGTATGTTGGGAGTGTGTAGTGTATGTTGGGAGGACGTAGTGTATGTTGGGAGGGCGTAGTGTGTGTTGGGAGGGCGTAGTGTATGTTGGGAGGGCGTAGTGTATGTTGGGAGGGCGTGGTGTATGTTGGGAGGGCGTAGTGTATGTTGGGAGGGCGTAGTGTATGTTGGGAGGGCGTAGTGTATGTTGGGAGTGTGTAGTGTATGTTGGGAGTGTGTAGTATATGTTGGAAGGGCGTAGTGTATGTTGGAAGGGCGTAGTGTATGTTGGGAGGGCGTAGTGTATGTTGGGAGTGTGTAGTGTATGTTGGGAGTGTGTAGTGTATGTTGGGAGTGTGTAGTGTATGTTGGAAGGGCGTAGTGTATGTTGGGAGGGCGTAGTGTATGTTGGGAGGACGTAGTGTATGTTGGGAGTGTGTAGTGTATGTTGGGAGTGTGTAGTGTATGTTGGGAGGGCGTAGTGTATGTTAGGAGGGCGTAGTGTATGTTGGGAGTGTGTAGTGTATGTTGGGAGGGCGCAGTGTGTGTTGGGAGGGCGTAGTGTATGTTGGGAGGGCGTAGTGTATGTTGGGAGGGTGTAGTGTATGTTGGGAGGGCGTAGTGTATGTTGGGAGGGCGTAGTGTATGTTGGGAGGGCGTAGTGTATGTTGGGAGGGCGTAGTGTATGTTGGGAGGGCGTAGTGTATGTTGGGAGGGCGTAGTGTATGTTGGGAGGGCGTAGTGTATGTTGGGAGGGCGTAGTGTATGTTGGGAGGGCGTAGTGTATGTTGGGAGGGCGTAGTGTATGGTGGGAGGGCGTAGTGTATGTTGGGAGGGTGTAGTGTATGTTGGGAGGGCGTAGTGTATGTTGGGAGGGCGTAGTGTGTGTAATATATTCTCAAATTTTCTAAACTTTGTAACAAACGTGACCTAACATGAGCCTACCCTTCCTTACCCATCCCAAATCATTATCCTGACTTCCTTCCCAGTGCTATATAGTCATAATAGCTTGGCACTTTCCCATGACAGTTCCATTCCCTTCGACCACAAGCTTCCTGTGCCAGACAAGAACCCTGAAACAACATGCAAGTGAGCTCGCAAATACGCAGCAAATCACTCTTCAGCACAATCTACATAGTGCGTATTTACGCAGCCTCCATGCAATATATATCGCTTTCCAATATTTATTTTCCCCACTAGTCATCCTTCAGCACTTAACACCCGTGAATGCCATTCTGCTGAACGTAAATGTAAAGATGTATAATTCTTGGTTTTTTCCGATCTAATACACTGGTGCATTCTCGAGTCTCGGGCGTTTACATGCAGGTCACCGCGCGGAAAAGGTAATACGCATTTACATCAATGCGATGCAGTTTCCCGGGAAATTGTGGTACGTTCGCAGGAGTAAATTACACGAATTCCTTTTTTCCTGTGTGTTGATATGGGTCTATTTGAGTCGTCGGGATCTGTTCAGCATTATTTGCCGGCGTACATATATATATATATATATATATATATATATATATATATATATATATATATATATATATATATATATATATATATATATATATATATATATATATATATATATATATATATATCATAATATATTTTTATCTTCCCCTCTCTCTCCCTCTCTATTTAACCTAGACTAGGGTTCATTAGGAATGGTATTGATGTTCGTAATTAAACTGCGAGCTAAGAGCTCTTATCCTACATCAGCTCATCGGAAACCTGACCCTGTAATTAGTTTCCATTAGGAATAAACGGTATTTAGTGCGAGTTTACAGTCATGATAGGTACTGGATGAAGCCGCCAGAGTGGAACAACTCTTCTACAGTCGGTTGACATGATTTCCCGCGACTCTGCGTGTTGTGAGAACTTTCAACTGTGAGGTATACAAGGAATCAATGATCACTGATGATCGCTGCGTCAACCAACGACGTCCTGGTGCCACAAGATACGATCCAAAGTCACTCACTACGACTCAACGACTCATCGTCTCGTCCACCAACTGCGACCCGCAGTCTCCTTACACATATATGACACTGCTAGCTACGACCCGACGCCACCAACTACCTGACGCCACCAACTACCTGACGCCACCAACTACCTGACGCCACCAACTACCTGACGCCACTAGTTCCGACCTAACCCAAATGAGAAGCCAAGTCCTGGCTGGCGTCTCACGTGACCCGAGGCTGTTGACATCGCCCGAGGCAGTTAACGCTAATGACGTGATCGCATGGGAGTGTCGGTCCTCCACTCAATTAGTAATCAGCGTTAAGAGCTAATTGTGAAATTAGGGAGGAATGAGCTACCTGGCTGCTCGTGGAGTGGGAGACCTTGGGCAGTTCTGCTTCCCTCGTGACTCTCTCGGGGGCGGGGTGGGGGGAGGAGAGAGAGAGAGAGAGAGAGAGAGAGAGAGAGAGAGAGAGAGAGAGAGAGAGAGAAAAAAAAAAAATTAAATCCATTTGTTCTCCCTTATTACTGTACGGGGGATGTTTACTCCTTGATGTAAGCATTATGTCTTTTAAAATTCCAAGTTTAGGGGTTCCTATCTCTGCGTGTGTGTGTGTGTGGTGTGGAGGTGTGTATGTGTGGTGTGGGTGTGTGTGTGGTGTGAGTGTGTGTGTGGTGTGGGGGTGTGGGGTGTATGTGGTGTGGGGGGGGGGTGAGAGGTGTGGGTGTGTGTGTGGTGTGGGTGTGTGTGTGGTGTGGGGGTGTGGGGTGTATGTGGTGTGGGGGGGGGTGAGAGGTGTGGAGGTTTGTGTGGTGTGGGGGTGTGAGGTGTAGTGTAGGGAGGGAGGTGTGAAGGGAGAGGGTGTTCTCCAGGTGAACACTACTGTCAATTGATCAGTTGTTGATTCAGTGGAACCCCCCCCCCCCCATCCCTCCCTCTTCCCCACCCCCACTCCTCTTTCCACCTCCCACCTTCCCCATCCCATTACCTTCCTCTCGTTTTCTCCTCTTCCCTTCCTCTCCCCCACCCTTCCCTCCACCCCACCCCCCCAACACACACAACAGCCCTAGAGTTCCAGGAATCTGAAAACATTTCAGTCCAGACTCGGGCCTTCATTAACATCGATAGCAGATCATTTTCTGACAGCAACAACGAATGCTAAATTCTCTGACAGGCTGGCTGATAAGTGCCACAGGCTGGTCTACCTTGTCAGTACCACAGGCTGACCTACTTTGTCAGTACCACAGGCTGGCCTACCTTGTCAGTACCACAGGCTGGCCTACTTTGTCAGTACCACAGGCTGGCCTACCTTGTCAGTACCACAGGCTGGCCTACCTTGTCAGTACCACAGGCTGACCTACCTTGTCAGTACCACAGTCTGACCTACCTTGTCAGTGCCACAGGCTGGCCTACCTTGTCAGTACCACAGTCTGACCTACCTTGTCAGTACCACAGGCTGACCTACCTTGTCAGTACCACAGTCTGACCTACCTTGTCAGTACCACAGGCTGGCCTACCTTGTCAGTACCACAGGCTGACCTACCTTGTCAGTACCACAGGCTGACCTACCTTGTCAGTACCACAGGTTGACCTACCTTGTCAGTACCACAGGCTGACCTACCTTGTCAGTACCACAGGCTGACCTACCTTGTCAGTACCACAGTCTGACCTACCTTGTCAGTACCACAGGCTGGCCTACCTTGTCAGTACCACAGGCTGACCTACCTTGTCAGTACCACAGGCTGACCTACCTTGTCAGTACCACAGTCTGACCTACCTTGTCAGTACCACAGGCTG